GAATCGAATAGTTGCGATTAGTTGTAACGAGATATATATAATATAAAGAAAAAAAAAAGAAGAAGAAGAAGGAAGAAGAAAAAAAATGTGAGGTCTATTGAAAGAGAACGCGCGATAATAACTGAAGAATAGAAGAGGGAGGGAGAGAGATAACGAGTGAAAATAAAGATAAAAGGGGCAAGACAAGATGCGATAAAAAAACAAGATGCGATGGAAAAAAAGAAACAAGAATCGTGAGCCAAAACGAGTAATGGAACGAACGAATAATGGACGATTAAAGATAAGAGAGAAAAAAAAAGAGAGGGAGGAAGGGCGGTAGAGAGAAAACGAACAATCGTGATCGAAGGATGTGAGAAAACAACAAATAGTATACAGGAGTATATAACGCATAAAAAAGACGATAAAATATAATAAGAATCGAGGAAGCGAAGATTCTTTGAGACTCGAAGGCAATGAAGCGTCGCTCGATCAAATCGTATTATAATTAGAACAAGAAGAAGGTGGAAAAAGAGACAAAGACNACGTTCATGGCAGTTAAATTTGACACGACGGGCAGCGTAGAGCGGAAACCGTTCGATGTCGTGAAGAAGTTGAGCATCGTCGTCACACCTGCAAACAATAATCGTTTTTATCTCTTCTCCTTTCCTCTTTCTCTATCCTTACAAAATTAATAATATAATATGTGTGTATATATATATATATATATACATACATATATATATATATTATGTTTCTCTTTTTCTGTACATATAATATAATATATATCGATTTTCAGAGAAACATATATATATATATGTTTCTCTTTTTCTGTACATATAATATAATATATATCGATTTTCAGAGAAGGTTTTCTCTTTTTCTGAAAAATTATTGTTACATTTGCTGTTGCTTAGAAGGAAGAACGTTTTTCTTTCGTGGCTTGGGAAAGTGGAGATTAAAGTAGAAATTTTGTATGGTATCCATCTAATCTGCGAGTGAAGTGTAGTGTTCGGCTACAGTTCAGAGTAGTCTGTCTCGACTTTAACGCGGGTTGTGCTATCTTGGAAGAAACTACGGAGAGCGATTTCTTACATCGACGCCCTTTTTCACTTGCGGAACTAAACTTGGCGGAAATGGGATGATGAAAATTTTCTTCGGCAAACAGCAAATGCATTTTTTTTTCTTTTTTCCTTCTCTCCTCTATGAAGTTATAATCTTTAAAATTTGAAGGAGCGAAATAACGAGTGAAAAAAAACGCTTACCGATCATTACTCGCGCCGGTACCGCATTCCACTCAAGCCAGAAGGTAATGAACGAGCTGGTCACCAAAATAATACCCGGGATGAAGACTGTTGTGAAGTAGAAGGCACGATCTCGTGTAAAAATCAGATCCACCTTCAGGCAGCTGTAGTTACCTATATAACCGTGCGTTACACATTCACATTATCGTATTTATTTTTTTTTTTTTTTTTTTTTTTTTTGCGAATAGAACGCGAACAGCGAGCAATTATTATATAGATTGATGATCGAGCTAAACAAGCGATTACGTGTGATCGTATCCTTTCAAACTTGATATACAACGATATAAACTTGATCAATCGATCGATTTATTTTCCTACACGTTCTTTTTTTTTTTCCCACCTTTATCTTTCGGCCTTTTATTCTATTTCTATCTTTTTTTTTTCCGTTTGAAAAGATTTGTCGAATTTCGCATCATGATTTTTTCAAGATTTTTAACTCTCCTCGCGTATCTTTCAACTCTCAAAGCGGCGACATACAAATTTTCTTTCTTTCTTTCTTTCTTTCTTTCTTTTCTTTTTTTCTTTTTTTTTACGCAAGTAGGCTGATATTCGTGGCTCTCCTTCGGAGAAGTCAGCTTCTGACGGGGAGAAATTAAATGACAGAGACAGAGAGAGAGAGAGAGAGAGAGAGAGAGAGAGAGAGAGAGAGAGAGAGAGAGAG